GTTGAAACTGCTGAGTAGCACACTGGTGGACCCAGCCGCAGAACAGCAGACGTCTGAAAGTAGGGACAAAGAAGGAAGTTCTGAACAGGCAAAAAATCAGCCTAAAACAGGGGGCACCGCCGTCGCCTCATCAACTGACGCTAATGCCGCTCTGTGGGCGCAGTACAATGCTCAGTGCGCAGCAGCAGCAGCCGCAGCAGGTGTTCCGCTAAATCAACAACAGCAGCAGCAAATGTATCCTCCTGGATACTCAATGGGCAGTGGATATCCACCCGGAATGTACCCGTCTCAAACACAACCACCACCATCATTTTCGCATCCCTCTCAAGCTATGATGGGAGCGGGCTATCCGGGTGGTCAGTCATATCCACCACCCCCTTCTTATCCTCCTTCCTCTTCTTCAACATATCCGGGAAGCAATGGTCAAGCACCTACTTCAATGCCTCCCTATCAACCGTACCCACCACAGCCAACTCTGTCTCTGCTTCCACAACCCCCGGGCAAGTCGTCATATCCACTGCCACTTCCACCACCGTTGCCATTTCCACCCTCACAATCGGGAGGACCTTTTGGTAATCCCTATCAGCAGCAGCAACCGCCAAATGGAGGAAAAGGAGATAACCATCGATTCCCGCTTTCAACAAAGCCACCGAAGTTTAATCCCAAAACGCGGGCTTATTTGGAAAACGATGGTAAGTCAATGTTTTTACTTTTTAATGTTTTGATTAGAATTTTAAGTAATTTGACACATTTTTATTTCATCTGCAGGAGATAGCAACTCTTCACCGTCAAGTTCTGGCGAGAGTCCTTTTAAAAAGGGCAAACTTGGAAACAATCCCAACAACAATCCCAACTTAAACGGTCGAGGAAAAGGTCCTTTTGGGGGCAACGGAAGAGGCGGCGGCGGTAAAGGAAGAGGTCGAGGCGGTGGCGGACCTCAGTTGGGACTTCGACCAATGTCATCAATACCTATACCACCGCCTCCACCGCCACCACCACAGCCACCAATGGCTGGGGGAAATGGAAGTGGTGATCAGTATGACGATCCTTTTGGACCGTCAGCCTTTGAGCAGCGGTATGCGTCGCAGCCACCGGAAGGAATGTACGGCATGATGAACCATCAGCAGTTTCCACCACCTCATTCGATGCCCTATGATATGCGTAAGTTGATAACGCAACAAACGAATTTTTTATCAAATTAATTAATCAATATTTTTCTTTTTTCCAGCCCCGTACTCCGGTGGACCAGGGCCTGGGCCTCAGATGAACAGTGGGCCCTTTGGTCCTGGTGGGCCTGGTCGAATGCCACACCCACACCCGCCGCAGCACTTTGGTCTTCGGCCAATGAACGGCCCACCTCGTCTTTGGGCGCCTCCTTTTCCGCCACCGCCTCCAGGAATGTCGCCATTTCCACCACCACCACCACCACCACATCAAGGCGGCTATTACAACGGCGGTGGCGGTGGCTTTGGTCGAGGTGGTGGTGGTGGTCCAAACTGGGGTCAAAACCCAAACAACTCTCGGGGCCGAGGCAAACAGCAGCAACAACAGCCAGGCAGTCAACAAGGGCAGCAGCAGGGTCGCTTTAGTATTGACAACCGAAAACAGGGGCAAAACAGGGATGATAATGATAATGGTGATAGTGGCGGAAGTTCTGCTTCAGCTACGCTTGCCGAGCCCAAAACACCACAAAACCAGCCAGACAGCAGTACGCGAGGAGAGGAAGGAGCTGCTGCTGGTGCTGGTCCAGGTCCACGATCAGGTTCTGGTGCCCGTTTTGGCCCTAATTCTCGTTTTGGTTCTGGTTCTGGTTCTGGTGCTCGTGCTGGCGCTGGTGCTTCTTCAGCCGCTGGAGCTTCTGCTGCTGCCGTTGCCGCCGTTCCTGCTCCTGCTCCTGGGCGACCTAATTTGGAGAAAGATGAAGGAGCAGTGGATGGAGGTATAGCCGGCGTGGACGTGGTCGCTGACGCCATCGCCGTCGCAAACTCGCCCACTTCCACCAGTGATGATCATCGACCACCACCTCCGGCCCAAGTTCAGGCACAACAGGCACCTCCGGCGGCCGCTCCAGCTAATGGGGGAAACCCCTCAGCTCCTGAGCAGTAAAATGCCATTTTAAAATGATCTTGTATTTATATTCTTGCTGTACAAATCGTCTCATCGTTCATGTTTTTCATTGCATTTCCCCTTTTTCACATTTTTTTCATTAGGTAGAAAAATAGTTGATTGAATACACAACACTCACACACAATCTCTTATTATTCTTTTACTCAATTGTAAAGTTTATATTTTTTCCTCATGTATCAAACCTCCTTGGCACTACTTATTTTGAATGATGTTGCATTTTTACTTTTTTTCACTAATACATAACTTATTTATTGATTGTTTTGCAAATAAAAAAATCAACTTTGCCTGATCACACAACACACTTCAGTTAAAAGATTAGGCAGCCAGCAACTTTATTAGCCGGCCACATTGCAACAGTCTTCTGATGAAGTGCAACTGTTAAGATGATGAGCGGCAAAACTGAAAAAAAAGAAAAAGAAAGAGAGGAAGGCAAACAAAACAAAGGAGTGCTACTTGTCCTACTGACCGTCAGACTGACTTGCTGGTGCTACTGCTTTCATCGATGATTGCATTTGACTTTAGTCAAGTGAATAAATGTCACTAGCTTGGCAAAAGCTAACCGCAGTAGCTATTGCGTGAAGCAGTGTGTGTTAGCAAAAGAAAACTGGGCAGTTAAAAGATGCTTACCATTTACTGCCCCAAACGATCACTGCCGCCGACTAGGTACTAGTAGTTGGGCTTTAGTAGTAAGCACTTAAGGAGTGTTAGGAGTGTGCATCTTGTGACATCTTTTCAAGACAAAAGTACCAGAATGTATCTACTAACCAGGATACTTGGTTGCCGCCATCTTCTTTTTGTTCTACTTTTACTCGCGTTTTTTATTCTGTTTCCCGTTCTGACGGTTCACGGCGCCCAGCCTGCTGACTTTAATGATGATGAAAGAGATGATTTTTCAACAACAGCAGCAGCCAAACCACTCAGCACTAATACTGAACTGTTGACCACTGAAATAAGTCTGCCGGATTCGGCAGATCCTGCCACTACCACAACAGAATCATCCACATCAGGNTTGACTTTAATGATGATGAAAGAGATGATTTTTTAACAACAGCAGCAGACAAACCACTCAGCACTAATACTGAACTGTTGACCACTGAAATAAGTCTTCCGGATTCGGCAGATCCTGCCACTACCACAACTGAATCATCCACATCAGGCTTATCAGCACCACCACCACCTTTATCCTTATCACCGCCCTTATCATCAGCGGAAACAGTGGGCAGCTGTCCGACCATCGCCGGCTTTGACCTTGCCTTCATCAACCGCACCACCAGCAAACTTCTTTCTTTAGCGAATTCAGCGGCTGAAGAAGCCGACGAGGTGTGCGAGGTAGACCGCCTGTTAGACCAACTGCTGCCGCCCGGCTACGAGCCAGCGGTCAACTTTGACCTTGGGCAGGCCATCCGCGTGGAGCACATCAACCAGACGCTGGCCACCGCCGATCGGCTGCTGACGCTCATTTCCAACTACAGTCAGACCTTTGCGCCGCTGAACACTCGAGTTCTAAATCGCTTCAGCTACCTTCTCCTCGGCCTGCCCCTCTCTTCCAAATGCATGTCCTCGCTGTTGGCCATCAGCGGGGCGATTCGTCGACGAGAGCTCTGGGCGATGAAATGTGAGCTTAGAATTTGTAATTTAAAAATTTTCTTAATTTTAGCATCTTTTTTTGTTTTAACCAGTCCTCGACGCCACCGGAAAGCCACCAGCAGGCGTCCTCGACGGCGTCTTCAGCGCCGTCGGCGACTACAGGCAGTGTCTGAGCATTCAAAGTCCTTCTCCTCCGTTTTCGTCTCGATCAGTGAAAGCTAAAGAAAGTTCCAGTTCGGAGGGCAGGCTGCCCTCATTTGGCGGTCAGTACTGTTGGTTGGCGCCGGTGCTGCCCCACCCACCGCGCAACAGCTACCGCCGCGGGGACCGGCTAGGCTCAGTTGGTAGTGTTAATGTGCCCACCTCGATGGTGGACGAACTGGTGGAGGTGCTCTACCTGGTCAATGGATCCCTTTTTCAACTCGGTCTCTGCCTGCCGACCACCTGCAGCGCCGGTGAGGTGGAGTTGGCTCTCAACACCAGTGAGTTATCTGAAAGTTTTGCAAAACTTCTTTTAAAACTTATTTGTTTACTAGTTCTCTATCCGATTCTGCACATTCCACTGAAGGTGGGGCCTCAGTGCTCTACGGCAGAACAGAGTCAACAGTGGGGCCCACTGGATGGCTACCAGAAGATGGCCATGTAAGGGAATGCGAGTTTTTGAAGTTTTTTAAGGATGTGTCTGTTTATAAACTACTTGATTTAAAATTCTTTTTATAGCATCACCATCGGTTCACTGTTTGCCCTCACACTGGTGGCCTCGCTTGTTGAGTCCTTTGTGATTGATGAAAGTTCTGGAAGCTCACCCAAAAATGAAGATAATGAAGGCAAGCAAGTGAGCATCAAGATGAGCGATCTAAACAACAACAACAACAATGGATCAACAACTGCTGAGATTGCACTCAGCAACAAGTCGGTTCAGCAGTCATCATCATCACCATCATCCGCTAAACATCATCAACATTCCCTGCCTCTCCGTCTGCTGTTCGCCTTCAGCCTGGTGGGCAACACCCGGGCGATGTTCCGCGTCAGCCCAAACAAGTTTGCCGCCATTGACTGTCTTCGTTTTCTAATGCTGGTGCAAATCATCTGGATGCACCAGTACTACACTGCTCTGGGCTGGAGTGCACTTCCTCTCACAAAACGGCTGGTGGGCGGACTGCACCAGCTGACGGGAACGGCGACGAAGTACATGCTCCTGCGGAACACCCACAACACTGACTTCTTTTTTGCCCTCACGTAAGTCACTTACCTACCTAGATACAATCGTTCTATTACATTTCATTATTCTAACTTTTCTAAAACTAACTGATTTCAGCGGTCTCTTGCTAACCTACTCGACACTGCGAAACCTGGAACGCTCCAAGGGCCGCTTCAACTACCTCAGTTTTGCGCTGAACATCTACCTCCGCTTCTATCCGGCCGTCTTTGGGGTGATCCTCTTCTACTATCTGCTGCCGTTGATGGCCGACGGGCCCTTCTGGTCACGACTGGACAAGTTTCACGTGGAGGCTTGTCGACGGACGTTGATGGAGAGCATGCTCACCTACAACTTCTACACACTGGACGTCGAGACGCTCTACCACTACTCAATGGTAACAGCAATGGTATCAGAAAGTTGATAAAACATCATCATCTTCTTCTTTTTCTTTTCGCAGTGCAACATGTCCTCCTGGTGGGTCAACTCCGCCTTTCACCTGATCCTCCTCTCGCCGGTGTTGATCCTTCCGCTGTACCACTTTGGAGCAAACGCCCTGTGGCTGGTGGGCGTGACCATCCTCGGCGGCGGGGCCGCCTCTGCAGGTCACATCTGGCTGAAGGGCGTTCCCTACATGAACCAGGTGGGCCGGATGACGGCCATCCTCGAGGAGGCTTTCTACTCTATCTTCTACACCTGGCCGGCCCATCACCACCTGGGACCCTTTGCTGCGGGCATCCTCGTGGGCTACCTGATCAGGAAGCATCCCAAGATTTACCTAGGTGGATCGATTGGTGAAACCATTCTGAGCGTCGTTTTTGTTGGTCTCAGCTGCCTGGGCTTCTACTGGACGCAGGATATGCTGAAGAGTCCGGAAAGCCCCTCGGGTGGAAGTGAAGGTGGAAGTGGTGCTGGAGGATTGGCAGCCGCCGCCCTTTCTCCTGGCTCCAGCGACCTTGAGGTGTACCTCAACGTGTCCTTTGGCAAGTTGATGTTCGTTGCCGGTTTTCTCTGGATCTTCTACCTTTGCTGCACAAATCGAAGTGGTAAGTAATGGGAAAATGTAGTTTGTTGAATTAAAGCCGACAATTTTTCCTTCTTTGTAAAATTTTAGCCTGGCTCAATCGTCTTTTCTCCTGTTCAACGCTGCAGCCGCTGTACAGTCTCTCACTGGGCCTCTACCTGACCAACTTTATTCCGCCGCTCTTTACCATCTTCTCCAGTCATGAACTGATTGAGTTTACCGACTTTTACATTGTGAGTTTTAACAAAAGTTATTTCATTTTTAAAAACTGTACATTTTTTCTTTTAGGTTAAAAACCTCACCTTCAACTTTACATTAACGGTAATTCTCTCGTACATTCTGCATGTACTGTTTGAGAAGCCGGCAATGAACGTGCTGAAAATCATTGAGTCGGGCTAGAGAGTTAGAGAATCTCTGCTTTTATTTTCATATTAAAATCATTCATTATATCAACTCAATAAACAGTAACTTGAAAGAGGGGAGGGCATTTTTAGTTACTCCTCTTCCTCTTCATCTTCCACCTCCATCTGATCTTGCCCACCACCAGCTTTGGGCACCTTGGGAGTGACCTTCTTGGCGGCCCACTCCGGGTGAGAGCCTTCGTCCTTTTTGCGCTAAAAAAGGTTGTGTTTAAAAATGGTGAATAAAAAGTTGAATAAAAACCTGAATTCAGCAAAAACCTTTTTCCCAATTACCTCCAAATCAAACTCCTTGCGCACTGACTTCAAGCCGCCCCGCATGTCCATCTTGGCCAGTTTGTAGGTCCACTGGCGCATCTTCTCCAGCTGAGTCTGGTACTTGGAGACCTTCTTCAGCGGTGGGATGATGCTGGTAACGATAAAAATGAAAAAATTTTAAAATGACAAATAACGTTGTAAAAAACTTTTTGAAAATTGGACACTTACAACTTTCCACGCATATCATTGACACGAGACTGCAGATCATTAATCTCGTACTCTTTGACGCATGTGGCCAGCTCTAGGTCCCA